AAAACATCATTTGGTATTTTGAAATACCAAAATATTACCACTATGTACAAAAATATACAAAAACCATGCGGCAACAGTGTAAAAAACAAGGGGATATAACAGAGCTTTAAAAACTGTGAGATCACCCTCAACAACTTTGATATTTTTCATGTCAGTAACTCCTTCATGTAGACGCTGAACTAACAGCCTAAGGTAATACTTTCTCTTCTTTTTTTTTTCTGGATTGTTTGGGGGGGGGTTTTTTTGCTGTTGTTGTTTTTTGGGTGTTTTTTTGTTTGTTTGTTTGGTTTGGTTTGGTTTTTGGTTTTTTTGTTTTGTTTTTTTTTTTGCTAGAAATAGAGTGTGAAAGACAAGATCTGTGTCAGCTTCTGCTCCTGAGGCGCAAAAACCCTTCTCCAAAGCCCCACCTGAGCCTGTTTCCCTTCTACACACAACAAAAACCTGTACAAAATCTGAGAGGCTGAAGGGCAGTGGCTTTACCTGACACTGGGAAGAAACCAAACACTAATGACGGTTTCTGCCTGTTTTCGTGGACTTTTAGCGCTGCCCTAGCGGGATTCCTGCCGTCCTCTGAGGCCCCGGGACGATGGCGCTTGCCGGGCCGGGCGCGCCTGAGGGCGAGGATCAAACCCGGCGGGGGCACTTTGTGCCAGGCTCAGCCCCTGAGGGAGGGCAGGGTGAGAGCGGGGATTCCTCCCTCTGGGAGAGGGCTCCGAGATCCCGGAGCCGGGCAAGGGGGAACGCCACCCGCATCTGCCAGGGAGCGGCCATGAGGGGCCCGGACACTGAGGGGAGGGATGGGGGAATGAGGGGAAAAGGTGGGGAAAGGGGAGGGGAAAAGGAAAGAAAGGGGGAAAAGGGAGGGGAAAAGGAAAGGAAGAGGGAAAAGGGGAGGGAAAAAGGAAAGAAAGTGGGGAAAGGGAGGGAAAATTAAGAAAAAAGGGGGGAAAGGCAGAGAAAAGGGGGAAAAAGGGAAGGGAAAAGGGAGGGGAAGGGGAGGGAAAAAGAAGAGTGGGGAAAGGGGGAAAAGGGGAGGGGAAAAGGAAAGAAAGTGGGGAAAGGGGGGAAAGGGAGGGAAAAGGAAGAGAAAAGGGGGGAAAGGCAGAGAAAAGCGGGAAAAACCGGAGGGGAAAGGGAGGGGAAGGAGAGGAGTCCGCCCTGAGGGCCGCCCGCTCCCCGCCCTTTCCCCACCTCGGGGCGGAGCAACGCCGCAGCCCAAGATGGCGGCGGCACCCTCCCAAGATGGCGGCGGCACCTTGCCATTACGGCGGCGTTACCTTCTCAGCATGGCGACTGCCGCGTCCCGCCCCGGCCAATCCCCTCCGAAGATGGCCGCGGCCCCGCCCCGCGCCGCGCGCTGCACGCCGGGCGCTCGGGGCGGGCTGAGGGCGCGGGGCCGGTCGGGCCTGCTGCGGTCGGAGCGAGCGGGGCCGGGCCGGGCAGGGCAGGGCGGGCGCCATGCCGGAGCTGGCCGTGGACAGGGTGGTCGTGCACCCGCTGGTGCTGCTCAGCGTCGTCGATCACTTCAACAGGTGCGGCCGCGCGGGAGTGGCGCCGCGGCGCTGAGTCACGGCCGGGCCGGGAGCGGGGCCCTGAAGGAGCCCGGGGCCGGGAGGGGACCCGGCGGAGCGGGAGGGTCCCGGGGCCGGGAGGGGATCCGGAACCCCGGGTAATTTGGGCCTAAGTCCGCTCCCTGCCGCCGATGCCGAGCGGTTTCAGAGCCAGAAATAAGCCCCGAGTCCCGGGAGGTGGCCGAGCCCGCGGTGCGTGACGCTGGGGTCGGGCGCTGTTCGCAGCCGGGGTCGGGGTCGCGTCCCCCGTGAGTGACATCGGGCCGTCCCTGGGCACAGGCTGTGGTTCCGAGGGCAGCGGAACGCCCTTTTGTGGCTGGAAACACCAGCGGTGGTAGCACAGCCTTAACCCCCTCTTCCACCCCCGCTGTGGCTCCTCCGACACGGGGTGGGGGTCCCTTCTCCCGTCCTCCCCGTTCGTGGCAGGGACTGACAGCCGGTTTTCCTTTTAGAATAGGAAAAGTGGGAAATCAGAAGCGAGTGGTTGGAGTGCTGCTGGGCTCCTGGCAGAAGAAGATCCTGGATGTGTCCAACAGTTTTGCAGGTGAGGTCGTGTGTCCTGCCCTTCTCCAAAGCCACTGAATTATTTAGTGGATGGTTGTGTTGTGGGTTTTGAAGAAACCCTTGATCCGTCCATGTACCAATCACCTCATATCCAACAACAAATGCAAGCTGCTGTCAACACCTAAGTAAATCTCACTCTCCTTTAGCAGCCAAAAATACCCAAACCCGGAGCATTTCAATAAACATTTTAATTCAGGAAGTTGGACTCTTAAACACTGGTGTTTTGTTTTATTCCCAGTACCCTTTGATGAGGATGACAAGGATGATACCGTGTGGTTCCTGGACCATGACTATCTGGAGAACATGTATGGAATGTTTAAGAAGGTCAATGGTGAGTTGAGATCTTCTGACAGTCAGGGATATGCTCCCAAAAACTTTCAGGGCTGTGGAGGATGGAATTCCTGTGAATCACAGAATCCTTGAGGGGGGGAAGTACCTGTAAGATCATCAAGTCCAACCATCAGCCAGCACCGTGTTCTCCGCTAACCGTGTCCCACATCCACATGGTTCTGAACACTTCAGAGATGGGACTTGCATCTCGAGATGTCAGATGTGCAGGCTGTCAGACCCCGAGAGCCACACAATTAACGGAAGCTGTTAATTAGCAGTGAAGGGGCCAGGAGAAAAGCTGTGGGTCAGTTCCGGTGATGAGCGAGTGCGGTCACTGCTCAAGCCATGGCCTTGTAATCCACTTCCCTCTCCTCCACACAGATCAGGCTCTCACCCTCCATCAGCCCACCCAGTCTCTGCCCAGCTCTCTCTGCTGGGGCCTCCCCCAGTTCTGATTCCAAATCCTTTCTGCTTTTGCTCAGCCAGAGAAAGAATCGTGGGCTGGTACCACACGGGCCCGAAGCTGCACAAGAACGACATCGCCATCAACGAACTGATGAAGAGATACTGCCCCAACTCTGTAAGTGGGGCCACCTTTGGCCTGTGGGGTTGTTCTTGCCTCCCTTTCCCTAAAAGGGGCATCTGGGAAGCCTTGTCCCCCACCTTTTTTGCTGGTGGCACAGCTGTAAAGTGATTGAGGAATGGGATCAGGAGTTTTTTGAATCATTGTCTCAGTGCTTGAGGTTACTCCTCTGGGCAGACTTGTGCTGGTGCTGAGGAGGGAAGAGCTGGTTTGGGTATTTTTTCCCTACTCCTTGACTGAAATCCAGTTTTTTGCACGTTTTCTTTCTCCCCAAGGTGCTGGTGATCATTGATGTGAAGCCAAAGGACCTGGGGCTGCCCACAGAAGCCTACATCTCCGTGGAGGAGGTCCATGATGTGAGTGTTCACTGTGTCAAGTGTCACAGCCGTGGCTGGGAGCTCTTGGAGGCTGTCACTCGTGGGTGTCACAGGCTGCAGGTGCTCCAGGTGTGCCCAGTCATTGTGGGCCTGCCCTGAGCAGCTCACTCCTCACTGAGCCCCATGCAGACAAACAACACCCAGCAGTGAGTCACTGTAATTGTTGCATTTAAATTAATTCTGGATGCATATAAAACAGTGGATCTTGTTGCCTTTCTGAGGCCTTCACTGCAGAGCAGGAGCTGCTCTCCCAAAATGCAACAAGGTTGGATCAGGGAAGAGAGAAATAATAGAGGTATTTACAATTTCCATTCCTCCCTCCAGGCACAGACCAGCAAAATGCAGAAATGGGAAGTTAACCAGAGCAGGAGAGATTGCTGGGACAGTCAGTGACACTGATTAAATCAAGAACATCCAGAGCTGTTCCTCTCAGATCCCTTGTGGCCTGTGTAGGGCTGCTTTTCTGGTTTCCTTGGTGCAATCCCTCATCCCCTGGCTGAAATCCCCCGTTTGTGTCCCCCCTTTAGGATGGCAGCAGTCAGTGACACTGATTAAATCAAGGACATCCCAGCCAGAGCTGTTCCTCTCAGATCCCTTGTGGCCTGTGTAGGGCTGCTTTTCTGGTTTCCTTGGTGCAATCCCTCATCCCCTGGCTGAAATCCCCCGTTTGTGTCCCCCCTTTAGGATGGCACCCCAACTTCCAAGACCTTTGAGCACGTGACGAGTGAGATTGGTGCTGAGGAGGCTGAGGAAGTGGGTGTGGAGCACCTGCTGAGGTGAGGGGACAGCTGTCCTGGGCCCTGCCACGCTCCCAGCGGCGTTCCCGGTGCCACTGCCCGAGGAGCACATCAAACACGTGGCATAAATCCTGGGAGCCTGCCTGCCACCAGCCCTGGGCCCTGCTCACACGGCTGGGAAGGTCCCAGGGGGCGAGGCTCTAATCCCCATTCTCTCTGGGTTGCAGGGACATCAAGGACACCACGGTGGGCACGCTGTCCCAGCGGATCACAAACCAGGTCCATGGCTTGAAGGGACTGAACTCCAAGCTTCTGGACATCAGGAGCTACCTAGAGAAAGTAGCCCTGGGCAAACTCCCCATCAACCACCAGATCATCTACCACCTCCAGGACGTCTTCAACCTGCTGCCAGACGTGAACCTGCAGGAGTTTGTCAAGGCCTTTTACCTGAAGACCAATGACCAGATGGTGGTGGTGTACCTGGCCTCGCTCATCCGCTCCGTTGTGGCCCTGCACAACCTCATCAACAACAAGATTGCCAACAGGGATGCGGAGAAGAAGGAAGGACAGGAAAAAGAAGAAAGTAAAAAGGAGAGGAAAGATGAGAAGGAGAAGGACAAGGAGAAGAGCGATGGCAAGAAAGAGGAGAAAAAGGAGAAGAAGTAAAAGGTGTAGTTTTTTTTATTTGTAAATTAAAAATCTTGTAAACTAAGTCCCTGGTGCTGGGGTCTTGTCTGTTGTGCTCAGCACTCTGCTCCTCCTCACCAAGGCAGGGCTGGGGGGAGCCATGTGGAGGCTTTTGATTTGATGATGCTGTTACACAGCACTTCTCCTTCCCCCAGTGTGTCTTCGGGGGTGTTGATGCCTCAGCTCACGCACACTCTGCTCTCACCGAGCATATTCCCATGTTCCAGGGCTAATCCTTTGCCACTAGCCAGTGTTGTGCACCCTCGGGGTGTGGCACAGCGGGGATGTTGTCACTGCTGTCACACCTCTGGGCCAGTGAGGCCCCAGCCCCTCCCTGGGGACAGCAATGATGGCCCTGTCACTCCTGGCCGGGACCAAGCAGCTCTAGGGGCTCTGGGGAGGCACTGGGGCCCTCACCACTGACAGAGCAGGCAGGGACAAAATCCATGGGATTTGTGATCCCAGTGCTGAGCATTGGATGCCGTTATGGCCCTGGAGCCCCAGCCCTGCACAGACCCCACCCTGGCAGACACACACTGACCCAGGAGAGGCGCAGACCCGGGACACAGAGGGACCCAGGACACACACGGGGACCCAGGACACAGGCACACCTCGGCAGCTGCTTTGTCGTTTATTGCACACGAAGCCGCGCGGGGCAGGCGGGGCCGTGCGGAAGCGGCCGGTTCCCAGCCCGGAGCCTTGCAGGGTCCCGTCTCCTCAGGCCCCGGACACACGGACACAGACACGCTGGGTCTGCCGCCCGCACGCACGGGAGGGACAGAAGTGACAGCCGGGTGATCTTGCCCTCCTCACTGCAGAGGGAACAGGAGTGTGGGCAGAACCCAGGATCTGAGCGAAGGCCGGCAGCGCCCCAGCAGAGCCCCCGGGGCTGCTGTGGAGCACCAGCTCCAAGCAGAAACCGCATCATTTAAATACAACCGCCCCGGGGCCATGGGCTGCACATCCCTGGACACGCCAGGGACACCTCAGCCAGGCTCTGGCTCCAGTGGCTGCAGGTCTGGCCTGGGAAGGGGCTGTCCTGGCGCTCAGATGGTGCACAAGAGCCTCTCAGAAGCACTGTCTCAGGGCTCCCTGTCACTGTTGCTGAATGCTGGGTGCAGGATGGGGCCCAGAAGTCAATCTGAGAGCCATTTTCCCCCTCACCTGCCACATTCACCAAAATGCCGTGAAAGGCAGAAAACACGAGGGGGAAGAAGAGCATCTACCAAACACTTAACAGTGTCTGCAGAGGGGGCTGGGGAGCCCCAGTGCCCCCTGTGCTGCCCCCCAGCCCCTCTGTGCCAGCCCTCGCAAGCCAAGCCCTTGTGTCCTCCTCTCCATCACACCTCGGGTTTCCTCAGGGAGGGAAACACAGCCCCGTTCCCCCAGGGCCGTGTCAGTGCAGACCTTGCCCAGGAACAAAAGCCACAGTGTCCATAGGGGCCCGTGCACATCCCGGGGAGGGCTCGGCCCTGGGCACCGGCCGGCAGCGCTCCGGGAACGCCCCACAGCTCCATCACTCCTGTCCAAACCCTTCTGTCTCCTCAATGGCGTAAAGCAGCTTCTCCTTCAGCTGTTCATAGCTCTTGTAGGGAGGGAGATCCAGGCGGTTGAAGCTGGGGAGAGAGCCGAGGCTGGGACAGGCCAGGAAGAGCAGTCCCCTCCCATGGGATGGAGAGCCCCGTGCAGCCCCACAGAGCTCCCTGCCCCCGTCCCCGCGCGCTCCGGCCAGGCCGAGGGGCAGTGACTTACCACGTGTGACTCCGTGGCAGCCACGTCTCTTTGCCAACTTTATCTATGCAGAATTTCTGAGGCCCGTTGCTGCCTGTTAATGAAGAGCACAGCAAAGTTCTTTACACGACCAGGAGCTGAAAAAGAAACCCCACCCACACACCAAGATCCACCATCATGGCCCTACAATCTCAGAGGCACACAGGGCATAAATCCACGGCAGCAATCCCTGCCTGGCTGCAGAAAGGACATTCAATAAACAAAGGAGAAAGCAAAAAGCAGATTCACAGCACAGAGGAGCAAGAGCACCATCTCTGAGCACGATGGCTCCATAGCAAGTGCTAAAACTCATTGATCTGTAAACCCTCAGGATTGTGTGAGTCCATCCAAGTTTTAAAGGACCTGGCACAGCAAGTCTGAGTCACTAAGGTGGTTTTTCAACACAGTGGGAATGCTGGAGAGATTCCAGGGGGTGGAAAAAGCTAATATGCCAGCAAGAACAACTGAGTGGGTTAAGCAAGCTGGTTGGCTTAACACGAATGCCAGGAAAGTCAGGGAAAGGCTGGTATAGGCCCCAAAAAGCAGTAAATTAAAGGAGAAGTGGAACCACACTGTGGTTTTCTGAAAAAGAGGCTTTGTCGCACAAGAATGAAAATTGAATCAGAAATCCAATCTCATTCAGACTGAGATCACAAACCAGCCCCACAAAGTTAACCCTGGTGGGACCCTTTGGCCAGAGAACGTGTGTGGAAATGGCACAACACCAGAGCACTGTGCTCAGACCTCACAGCTGCCTTCCTGCTCACGGGCTGCCGTGAGCTCTGTGTGGGGACAGGGACAGGAAGGTGCCACCCCCCAGGACACACCGATGAGCTCAGCAAAGCCCCCGACGGGCAGGCGGCAGGTCCCCGTCACGAACTGCAGCAGCCGGATCCTCTTCTCGTTGTCCATCTCCTTAACCACCTGCAGCAGGAACGCAGCAGCTGAGTGGGATCCTGGTCCCATCCTGCAGGATGGCTCCTGCCAGCGCACCCCACGCCCTCAGCTGGGCTCAGACTGACCTGCCAGAACCACTGGATCTGTTTGCTGTTCTTGGTGTAGTGCCTGTAGATGGTATTTTTCTGCCAGTCGTTCATGTCAATCTCCTGCATCCCGCACAGCATCAGCTGGGGACAGGGGACACTCAGCAGGGGACAGATGGGGCCCTGCACCCACGCTCTGAGTGCCAGCCCCTCTGGTGCCAGCCTTCACCTGACCCAGGTGCCAGTACTGAGGTGTCTGGCACAAATTCCTCCCATCCAACGGGATGGTCTGTTGCCAATGGACCCAACGAGCCACCCCCACAGCCAGCACACGTGGCTGTCATCAGGGGATGGGCACAGAGCATGAGCAGGGTCACCATGTGCCTCTCTCCAACCACATCCCCACCCCAGGGGCCAGCTCACCTCCAGCTCCTTCTCGTCGAAGTAGCGCAGCCACTCAAGCGGCACCACCTCGTTGAAGCCGTCCAGGAACGCCTTGGTCTGCTCCTCCACGCCCCGTGTGAACCTCCAGTCTGTCAGCAGCCTGGGGAGGCAGACGGGGTCGGCACAGGGCCAGCACTGCTGGCCTGGCCCTGGGAAACCCCAGGATCCCTCCCACCAGCAGGGAGGGCCCAGGGAGTGTGGGGAATGGGAGAGGGGCTCCCTCAAAGTACCCCCTCAATTCCCACTGGTGGGTTTCTGTCTCTGCCCCCAAACCCATGAGCAGCATTCAGCCCCGACAGTGGCCTTAGGAGCTCCAGGGGTGCAAACCACATCCCCTGGCTGGAGCTGAGCTGGCCCTGGCAGCCCCCAGGCAGGCAGGGGGAACAGCCATGGGATGGGAAAGCAGCCTCAGCCTCTCTCCCCTCTCCTTTTTCCTGAAAGTACTGGCAACTGCCCAGCCTGCAGCAATCCAGACCGCAGCAGAGCTCGGCCAGCCGCGCCAGCCCGGGCTTGTCACAGGCCACGTAGCCCAGGGAAGCGGCCACGTCCCAAGCCCCGCGGTCCCACCCCTGCAGCCGCTGGGGGCGGGTGCCTGACAGGACCCTTGGGACAGCCACTCACATGATGTACTCCTCCTTGTTCTCCTCCGTCACACGGATGCTCTCGCCACCCTCCTTCAGCTCGTGGGTGGTCACCTTGCCCAGGATCTCCATGTCCTGGATGAAGTACAGCTCCAGGCCGCACTCCTCCAGGCTGTTCTCCCTGTGGGGGACACCGGGATGTGATTCCTGATGGAGGCACCCAGCAGCAGTGAGGGGCTGTGGGGAGAGCTCTGCAGGAGGGATTGCAGGGCGCTCACTTGGTCCAGACGATGGAGTTGTAGAACTCGGGGTCGATGGACTCCAGGTCCTTCAGCGTCGGGCGCTTGTTCAGCATCCGTTTGTAGAAGGGCAGCGTGAAGCCAGTGTCGATGAACTTCCCGTGGTACAGAGCCTGTGGCAGGGAGGGGACACCAGGTCACAGGGGACCCTGGGATGCAGCCCCGGGGCAACACAACGCTCCACCCTGGGGCAGCCACAGTGCAGAGGGGACTCATTCAGGGGTTCCTGAGCTGTGGCACTTGCTCCTCACTGGTACACATGGAGGGGAAGGGTGGGCTGCCCCAACAGCACTTCCCAGGCCGGGTGGGCTGCAGCCCCTCTCCCTCCCCACGGCAAATTCCACTGCATCTCCCTCTCCCCTCACAGCTCTATTAAGAGCACTTGTTTAAACAGAGCTGTGCTGTGGCTTCCCTGAATCCCTGGCTTCCAGGAGCCCCGAGGCAAAGGCAGCCAAAAATAATGCAGACGCTTGTCTAGAACGGCCCAGCGGTGAGTAATAGTCTGGGGTTTTATTGGTATCCTGCGAGGCGGGGCAGGGCAGGGCAGGACAGCGGGGCCGGAGCCGCCTCCGCGCACACCCCGCGGGGCTGCGGGCCAGGGACCCTTCCCCGGGCTCGGGGAGCCCCCCTGCCAGCCCGGGGCACACTGGCCTTGAGCAATCCAAGACAAATGGGAGGAGCTGCTCTGGAGCTTGGGCAGCTGGAAAATCTCACACTGCTGGGACTAAAAATAGTCCCAGGAGCTGCAGACCCGACAGCACCTGGGGTGACAGCCAAAGACCTGGAGCCGTCCATCCCCGCCACAGCTCCTGGGAAACCAGGTCTCCTCTGGCCCCACAGCCGTTCCGTGGATTCAAAACGCATCACCCCACAGCACCCCCCTGAAGGCCCATCTCCCACTGACCCCCACGTGGGCAAGAAGGGGCTCAGGGAGGGCAGCAGCACGAGGCCAGCACACCCACGGCACACCGAGCTGCCCCTTGCCCTGCTGCCCACCCTGTCCCCTGCTCCACACGGGGACACAGACCCCTGGGGCCATCCCCCGGCTCTCACCATGGCGATGAAGCGGCCGATGAAGCGGAAGTAGGTGAGGTGGTCGGGGTTGATGGAGGAGGCAGGGTTGATCTGCAGGCAGTAGTTGTTCTTGCCAGCGTACTCAAAGAGGCAGTACATGGGGTTGAGCACCTCATGGGACAGGAGGAAGAACCATTCCCTGGAAGGAGACAAGGGGAACACGGTGAAAAGCAGCTCAGGGAGGGGACAGTATTGTCCCTGCACCAAGCGGGTGCCCACCTCCCCAGGGTGCCAGGCAGGTGCTGGGCACTGGTGTGACTGGGCGAGGCTGTTCCCCTCCCCAGGGTGCTGTGTGGGGTTTGTGAAGTGTTTCTGGAGATGCCAGCTTGCTGCAGGCCCCACTCAGAGTACTGGGAACCTTGGGAAGTGCCACACACAGCCCCAGCTGGGCTGTCCCACACACACACACCCCCTGAGTGCACCCAGTTCCTCCGCACGCGCTGCCCTGGGAGCCCCACGCCAAGCTCGGGACAGCACCATCCTGGCTTTGCTCCCCCGGCCGTGCAGGCAGACAGGAATCCTCAGACGTGGAGGCAGCCCCGGCATCCTGTCCGTGGTTCTACCCTGTGGTAGAACAGCATGACGTAACCTACCATAGGGTAAAACCACTGGCAGGACACGGAGAGAGCTGGAGCAGGAGCAGGGGCCGGGGTAGCCGCCCCATGAAGGGCAGCAGGCGAGCGTGGGGTGGCAGCGGGCAGGGACACGCCAACTGAGCTCCAAGGACATGTCCCAGGTGAGCCAGAGGGGGCTCACAGGGACACAGGACCCCTTTCCAGACAAGCCACAGCCCATGCCCTGTGGTAACATCATCCCAGGCCAGCAGCAGGGCTGCAGAAACCACATCACACCCTGCCTGCCCTGGCACACACTGACTGTCTGGGGCCTGTTTGCTGCAGGGAGACGAGGCCACTCAGCCCATCACCCCCACAACTGGGGGCAGCAGGGACTCCCAGCTGGGTTCCCTGTGCTCTCACTGCCAGGACAGGCTGGTGTGATGCGTTCAGGGTGTCCCACCACTCCTAAAAGCCAGTTGCCCATTTGAATGCCCCTGGTCTCCTCTGCTCAAGGGCTGGGAGCCCCGAGTGCAGCTGCCTTATGCGTGCACTGCCCACAGGACCCAGGGCACAGGCAGGGCACGGCCCTGTGGCCCGGCAGGCCACGCTCACCTGGCGATGCCACCGTAGTCCAGGCCCTCCTCCCCTCGCATGATGATGTACAGCCGGCGCCGCAGGTCGTACGGCTTCATGTTCATGATCTGGGGACAAGCAGGGCAGTGTCACCACAGCCAGGGCCAGCTCCACTCCTGCTGGCCAGCTCCATGGCCCGGCTCCTGCCCGGCTCCGCGGCCCTGGCACCTCCCTACCTGCTGGAAGGAGTCCTCGAAGAGCGTCTGCCGAGACACGCTGATCTTCACATGGCTGGGCAGCGCGTTTGACTGCAGGCAGGGCAAAGGCACGGGGCTGTGTGAGGCTGGTACGGTTCTCCTCACCCACACCTGCCCACAGGGCTCAGGGCAGCCACACAGCTGCCCACAGCCGCTCTACTCACGTGGCAGAGGAAGCGGAACTGGTGGTACTTCCAGCGAAAGCTCCGGTCGTACGCGCCCGGGGAGCCGCCGTGCTTGCTCCTGCCAAAGCAGCAGGGCCAGGGTCACACCCTGTGCCTGCCCTGAGCAGCCCCCGGCAGGAGCCAGGTGGGATGGGGGTCACTGGGGCGCAGCTCCCCTCAGTCAGAGCCCCCAGACGCGCTGCTCGGGGCTTACCCGGACTCGAAGCCCGGGCGCGGGTCCTTGAAGGTGGTGGTGCGGGTGTTGTGGTCCACGAAGTACCGCACGCTCTCATTCGTGTACTTCATCTCCCAGCCCGGCGGCAGCGGCGGCTCCTGGATCATCCTGCTGGCAAGGAAGGGCTCAGCAGACAGGCCCTTTAGGCAGTCCCCCCCCAACCACAGCTCTGTGCCAGGCAAAAGGAAGGATTCATGGCATGGGACTGGCGAGCGACTGTCCACAGCCCAGGAGAGGAGTCCTGCCTGGGCAGCGCTCTGGCCACGGCCACGGCACTGCCAGAGCTTCGAAACCACCCGTGGGACACATGGCCTCAGTGCAGGCCAGGTCCCTGGAGAACTGCACCTTCCCAATCCCTGCTCCCCCCACGGCGAGGATCCCACCTACCCCTGCGTGCGAGGATCTTCCCACTGCGTGGTCCGGGTGTTGTGGTTCACGTAATACACTCGCCCATTGTCCTGTCTCTTCTCTAGGAGAAAAGGGAAAGAAAGAGTTAGCTGGAGTCCTGGAACAGCCCTCCCCTTCCCAGCTCAGAGGAAATTTGTCAGCTCCCCCATTCCACCTCCCTGGTTCGTTTGGAAAAGGCAGGATAAACCCCACATTCCTTCCGCGTGCCCGAGCTGCCTCAGCCCGGCAGTGCCAGCGTGGGGAGGTGCCAGGGCAGAGGCCAGCACTGCCAGGCCGGCACAGGGGCTGTGCTCAGCCACACACCCTCGTGGCACACACACAGCCCCTCCTGGGACACGCAGCAGTATCCCTCCACATGGATCCACAGGCGCTTTCCCAAACTCCCTGCATGGCCGTGCTCCAGTGCACACGTGTGTGAACACACACACCTCCCTGTGCTGCACACAGGCACAAAACAGCTCCAGCACACACCCCAGCCACCCCTGCACACACCCCTGCCTCCCCAGCACTGTGTGTGCCCTGCACCTCCTCCTCCTCCTCCATGTGCTGCGTCACTCCCCCATGCTCAGCCCTGCACCATGCAGGCAGGGACACCTTGTCACCTCCCTGTCGCCCTTGTGGCCAGTGCCAGCCCCTTGCTCCATCTCACTCCTGGACTGCGGGCAGCAGCCCCCAAATGATGGCCAGGACCGCAGCCATCCCAGGGATCCCATCCAGCCTGGGAACCCCCACCCCACGGTGCTGTGCCTGCCCAGCTGCCACTGGGGATGGGTCCCCTCTCCTTGCTGATGGATGGGGGGACACCCAGAAAGGGCTCCACCACTGCCCCCATCAAGACACTGTCCCTGCAGACTGCCGGAGCAGCCTTGCCCCCTCTGTCCTGCTCCAAGCTCCCACAATTTTAACCCTTCTCCTGCTCTCTCTGGCACAGCACAGCCCAGCTGCACCCACAAGCATCCCAGCCTGCCCTCTCCAGGGATGCTCTCACCATGAAGGGGTTCTCTCTGTCCTGGAGGTGGCACAGGGACTTTTCAAAATGTCCCAGCACACAATGCTTGGGCCATTTGGGGATGACCAGCTCTGCTCCTGCCAGCTGCCAGCCCTGCTCCAGAGCCAGGCAGAGCATCCCAGGAGGCAGCACAGCAGCGGGACGGATCCCTGCTCGCCAGAGGGGTCCAGGGACAAACAAGGACTTCCACCCCCAAGCTGGGGATCTTCCCCAATCCAAAGAGCAATCTCAAGCACTTCTGCATTCAGCAGCTGAGAGAGGCTGGGAACTCCTCCAGGAAAAGAGGAAGGCAGGGGAAAAAAAGCTGAATTTCGCATCAGAGATCGTGCTAGTCACAGGCAGAGTCAGTCCCACGTGCAGCCTAGCACAGGGAGTGCTGGCTCCAGGGTCACCCTTCACCCTTCCCAGTAACGCCAGTCACGGGAGCCAGGGAGCTGCTGGCAGCACGGTGCTGCCCGCGGGACAGGCAGGGTCCTGCCGCGGGTGACAGGAGTGTCCCCTGGGGGCCACGCAGGGGCAGGTGAGCGGTGCAGTACTTACCCCAGCCGGGAGGAAGGGGCCCCAGAGGATCATTGTCGGACGGGGCTCCGGAGGACTAGAGAGAGCAAAAACACGCAATAAACCCCAGAGCCGGGACGGCTGGGAGGAGCAGAACACAGAGACGAGCCGGCCAGCCCCGCTTCCACTCGCCTCTCCTTGGCCCACAGCTCCCAGGGAACTAAAAAAAAACTTGCACACTCAAGGGGGGGTTTAAAAAAAAAAAAAGAAACAAAATAAGCAAAAGAAAATGAAAAAAAAAAAAAATTAAAAAAAAAAAAAAAAAAGAGCCTAGGAGCTCAGGCTAAGCAGGGCTGGGGCAGCCAGGGGGCAGCGGGGCAGGGGCAGGGGCTGTGCCGGCCCGGGGCAGCGGGACGGCCCGGAGGGCTCCGGACGTGCGCGGCTGCTCGGCTGCGCCGGCGTCCCCTGCACATACACCTCCAGCCTCCTCCAAGAACCACACACAAGAGGGGAAAAAATATCGCAGGCCTTTCCAATGAAATCATTCCCACAAGCGCTGTCCACGCCCCGCGCTTCCTGGCGGGACGGCGGCCCCCTCCTCCCGGGCCGGGCTGCGGGATGCGCCGAGCCCGCGTCCCGCCCGCGCCGCGGCCCCGCCCGCCCGCACAAAGCCCCTTTCTCGGCCGCACGGGCACGGCCGCCCTCCTGCCCGCTGGGGCAAAGCCCGCCCGGCCCCGCCGGGCTCCCCGGGGATGGAGGGTCCCCGGGGTCCAGGGCAGGAGGGGGCCTGGAAGAGCCTTTAATGGTTAAATGAGAACGCATCGTTACCCAAAAGGTGAAAAGCCATCTGCTGGAGGGGGGCTGTGTCTCAGCTTCCCGCGCCGGGATGGGTCCGACTCACCTGGGCCCAGGGAATGCCACCCGCAGCCAGACCCGGCTGGGAACCGGGGCAGCCCCGGCCCCCCACTCCCAGAAAGGCACCAAAACCTGGGTGGGTAGAGCTCGTGGCAGCCAGCACCCCGAGGGTGGCCTGGCACAGTCTGTGCCCCTCAGAGCTCTGTCTCTTGTACCCACCCCCTGTGCCAGGACTGGCGTGGCCAGCACAGCTGGACTTGGGGCAGTGTCCGCTCCCTCCCGCCAGGACAGGCTGCCCACACAGCAGCCGAGTCGTGTCCAGGGGTACCACCTCGCTGGCACCTCAAAACACCTAATGAAAGCAACCAGGGCAGAGCACCAGGAGCTCCTGCTGCTCCCCACAGCCCCTGGGAACAACCTGCCCCCAGACCCTTTGTGCAAAGCATGTGGCACTGGGGCATCTGCCAGGAGAGCGGTCCCAGGCTCCACCTGAGCCCCCCAAACTGTGCCTTTCCCACCTCTGCCCCACCGCTCATCATTCCCCTACCGTGCCCTCCAGCAAGGGCAGAGGGATGCTGGAGGCAGGAGCAAGTCAAGCAGCAAGCCCCTGTGGGGCAGGAGGCAGAGCAGGAGCCATCACTGTTGGCAGCAGAACTCAAACAAAAAGTACAATCGTTTCATCAGGCTAAATTTGGAGGCCGAGTCCCTCCCTCGGCAGAGCGTGGCCAGGGCGCGTCGCAGGGCCTGGAGCAGCTCCAGGGCTGGCGCTGGCAGGGAAGAGGGACAGCCCCGAGCCCCGCTGGGCACGGTGGCAGCCCCTCCCAGGGGAGCCCCTGCTGAAGGCAGGGCCAGCACAGGATCGGGGGGGAGGGACAGCCCCGCTGGGCACGGTGGCAGCCCCTCCCAGGGGAGCCCCTGCTGAAGGCAGGGCCAGCACAGGATCGGGGGTCCAGCTCTGCCTGTGAGGCTTGGAAGGATTGGAGAGACATCCAGGGAGGGAGAGGCAGGGGGAGGAGGGGGCTGAGCTGCTCCCACAGCCCCAGGAGTGAGCCTGATTGTGTCCCACACAGAATGCACTTTGCTCTACACCCCCCATCAGAGAGCAGCTGAGCTCCTGGATGGAGCCCTGAGCTCACTCCAGTCCCAGCTGGGACTCCTGGCTCTCTCTGAGTAGATAAAAGGCAATGAGAAGTCGGTCCCTGTACGCTGCCCACCTTCCCTCCACAGCTGTTCACCTGCCTCTGGCACCAGTGCAGGTTCACCCCTGCGTGGGGCTGGACTGCTGCTCCAGGAGGCAGAACTGCTCCAGCCTGGCTCTGTCCCTGTCCCAAGCACTGCTCTCCCTGCAGCCCACAGCCACCAGCACTGCTCAGGTCAGCAGAGGTGCTCACCCCTCCACAGCTGGGTACAGATCCATGGCAAAGGTATGGCCAGGACAGGAGTGGTCCCTGCCCAGGTAAAAGTCAGCACAGGTGCTCACCCCTCCACAACTGGGTCCATGGCAAAGGTATGGCCAGGACAGGAGTGGTCCCTGCCCAGGTAAAGAATGGTTGAGACCATTCCCTGAGCAAGGAAATTCAAACATTCAGCCCAAACCAGGAACAGAGGGAAGCAGCAGATAAAGCAGGAGGGTGCTGGCCAAGTCCAGCTTGCTCCCTGCACTCTCTGGTCCCTGGCTCCTGCAGCCCTCTCCACTTGTACCCCAGGCTTTTAGCTCCAGGACCCAGCCACGCTGGCCTCAGCCCAACAGAGACCTGGAGAGGGACGAGCTCAGGCCTCAGAGCCTCCTGTCCTGCTACACACCAGGCTCCCATGGCTCCCTCCTGACAACAGGTTCTGCAGCCCCACAGGTCAGCAGCAAGGCTTGTCTGAAAGCCACAGGAGAATGTGTGGCTGGCCACATTGGCACTGGAGAAACCTTGGGGACAGGCTGCTGAGGACACCTCCCACCACCCTTCAGGGCCATGCAAGCTTATAAAAAGCAAGTCACTCCCCCAAGGCCTCTGCAGGCAGCTCAGTCTGTGAGCTCCCATCCACACACTGCTCTGAGCCGGCACAGACCCCACACAGCCCAGCAAGCGCCTTCCCGCGCCCCGTGGCTCCCAGGCAGCCCCGGTGAGCCCGGAGGGAGAGGCAGGTGAGACCCCAGCTCTCACCTGGTACAGGAACCTCTGGCTGAACTGCTGCATGGCCCCTTGCAGCTGGTTGCGCTGCGACTGCCACTGCTCGTAGTTCCTGACGTACTCGGCCGTGGGGCGCTGCCACGTGGTGGTCCGGGTGTTGTGGTCCACGTAGTAATACCTGCCTCGGGGATCCACGCGTTTCTCCCACCTGGAAGCACCCAAGGAAGCTGTCACTGTGTGGCTCACCCTCCGCCACGAGGGCTCCGTGCCCAGCTCCACAACCACTGCTCTCACACCCAAAGGGGCTCTTCTGGGCAAGGACCCACCAAAAGGAAACACAAAGGATGAGTAACTCCTCGAGTAGCTCCTGCAAGGGCACACGAAGCCTGACAGGATGCTGGGACACCAGTGGAGCTCCCACCAGGATGCCATGAACGTCCATCCCTCCAAGACAGCGACCGAGCCAAGGCCTGGACCCCCGAGCCCCTTACCCTGGAGGAAGGGGTCTCTCCCACGTCGTGGTCTTGTTGTTGTGGTCTACATAGTAGACTCTGCCATTCGGCAGCTCCCGCTGCTCCCACCTGCAAGGAAAATGAAATCATGAGGCAGGTGACACTTGCTGGCACCAAGAACACCCAGAGAGCTGTCCCTGCTGGTCAGGGAGCCCAGCCCCTCACATCCTTGGCACTCCAGCCTTCATTTGACAGGTTTGCGTGGCAGCCACTGGGCCTCCTAGATGGGGAGAGGGGCTGCAGCACTCTGCTTCCTCAACAGGCACAACTGGAGCATAAATTCCTAATTTCCCTCAGAAAGGTCAGCATAGGATTTCACAGAAGGTCAGTTTTATGCCCTGTGTTTCTGATGGTTTTGTTTGGTTTCTCTTAATACATCTTCAAAGGGGAGTGTTTGAGTTGGGGCTGGGATCTGTCCCTGCAGCCCTGGGCTTGCTGCTGACAGCTACAGCTTAAACACACGTTGGCCATGGTGCTCAGGCTGGGGTGGCCCTGAGGACAGCCCAGTGACAGCAAGCCTGGCTTCACAGGGCCACGCTGCACCCACTCTTTGTGTGCATTCATTCATTCATTTACCCTGGCAAAGGTAAATGCTCTGTGGAGCCTGTGCTTTCTTGTCAGCTTTTATCCTGCAGCAGAGGAGGCGAGCCAGCAGCTGCTGACAGATCAAGTGTTCTCCTGCCACACTTCTGCTCCCACAGGCCTCTCTCCCCATTCAATCATCTGTCTCAATTAATCACCACAAAAAGCTCTAGGAAATTAATACACCAGCTTCTGTGAGGCAGCAAGGGAGCCAGCCCAGGCTGGCAGGCAGCAGGCAGCCCGGGGGATGGAGCTGCTCCATGTGCTGGTACCCCACAGCCTGGGCTCATCCCAGCTCGGCCCCACAGCTCCAGGGACAGCAATGCCATCACCACAGCCACACACCTGCAGTGACACAGCTCAGCTGCACTGCAGCCTCTGTGGAGCCAGTGCAACACCTGCACATGTTGCTTCCAGTCAGCAGCACTGGACCTTTCTCCTCCCTGGAACGGGTCAGAGACACCAGTGGGCATCCCTGAGGGAGAGTCCAAGGCAGGGCCTGCTGTGCCCCTGCACCATAAGGGTGAGGGGCTGCCAAGCCTGACACCACCTGGTTTTCTGGTCACAAACCATGAACTTGGTGCTTCATGAACATAAAAGCACCAGGACAGGTAAAACAAGAAAAGTGAAATCTCTAAAGAGAAAATCAGCACAGCTGGGGTGTCCTAAGGCATGAGCAGGTCTACCATAGCCATGAGGAGGATGGCAGAAGGTGTCCATGCACTTTGAGGGCAGTGGAACTGCCCTGGACAGCTCCTCCAGTCTCATTAACAACAGATGCTCTGATCCATACAGCTCTGAGGACTTGGAAGGTACCATTCCTGCGGCTGCAGAGACCAGAACTCCCATGATGAGAATTCCTCCAGGTTTCTGGATCCCTCTGGGTGCACTCATGACTGCAAAGAGCCACGTGGGACTGGGGAGAGCTGCTGGTGGTGGCAGCTACTGCCTGATGTCCCCTGCCCCCACCTCACTCTCTGTAAAAACACTGATGAGCTCAGACTGCTCACCAGCAGCTCCTGGGTGATGTGAGGAGTGAATCTGCTGAGAGCTGGCTCTGTGAGCCAGTGCTGATGAACCGTGGTTATTGCTGCCACACAGGGATGGGGACACTGGGGACAACCCATCGTGGCTCAGACACCTTGCCCACTCCACAGGGCCCCCAGCAAGGGAGATCCATGGTTTTGGGAGTGCTGGACGGTGGGAGCTCACCCCACAAGCACCACAAAGCACCCAACATGCCAGTCCCTGCCAGCTCTCCTCCAGCTGCCCACAGGCTCTCGATGGCCACGGATGCAAGGAGCCACAGGCACTGGGAAGTGGCAGAACTGAGGCAGCCCTGCAGTCCAAACAAAACGCCCTCCTTACGTAAGAAACCACAGCCCGTGGGCTCTGCCAGGCAGCATAAAGCACCTCTTTGTGCGGGCAGGGCAGCGCCGCATGCCCCCCGCCCTGCTGCCTGTCCCACACGGGATCATCCCTGATAGGATCCAGATGCAGGAGCCAGCAGCCCCCTCCCCTCCCCTCCCTCTCTGCTCGGAAAGCCCAGCAGGAGAGCTGGGACCCCAGGCTGGGACCCCCAGGCCTCGGGCGCTCCACGCACGCTCCCGGCTCCGCGGGGGAACGCTGCCCAGAGGATGTGAAGGAGGCTTTGGGCACTGCTGGGCTGGAATTACTCAGAACTCCTTCCAGCCCTCTCCAGCCCCTAGGACAGACTCCCAGTTGTGTGAGGGATGCCTTTGAGCCGCCACACCTGGTGCAGATGTTGAGACACAGAGATCTGAGCACAGCAAATCGCTCTGGACCCCCAGATGAACCCAAGTGTCTGTCACAGCCCAGAAGGAGCAGGGAGGCTGAGGCCACCCTCCAGAGGCTGAAGTGAGTGTTCCCCATGCTCCCAGGGAAGGAAGGAGACACTCAGAGAACAAGGCAGGGCTCGGGAGGTGCCTGGTAGCTCTGCAAGGACTTTGCTCCTGGAGTGGCAGAGCAGGAGCCGCCCCCGTGGGCCCTGCAGTGCTCTCACAGCCAGCCCAGCAAGGGGCTCTCCTGCATCCCCATCTCCCAAGCTGGGCCCCAAACCACTAGTCAGAATAATTCCGTGGTGAGGTGAGCCCGCCAAAAACCGGCCTCCCTGGATCAGGGCTCAAGAACTCCAGAAGCTCATTTACACCACCCCAGGGACAGTGTTGTGCAATCCCAGTTCAGCAAATCCCCGTTAGCCCAGGACCTGCTCTGGCAGCTCCCTGGAAGGGCTCACACCGTGAAGACCCCAGTGCATTCAACTCCCCACTCTTGTTCACCTGGGAAGCCCTCGATCTCTGGTCTCCCCTGCCCAGGCCAGCACAGCACAAGCACAGCTCATGGTGCCCTCTTTCCCCCTACAGATCCCACAGCCAGCGCAGAAGGTGCTAATCAAAGGTGTCTCCAGAGACCCAGATTCCAGGAGCTCAGCCTGGAGAATGTCCCTACCCTTCAACATTCCTCTCCATCCAGCTCCCAAAGCACAATAGCTTTATTCTCCTCCCTGCTCTGACACACCAATTCTCTGGTGTGAGCTCCACAGGGACATGGGCAAGGGGGACATGGCCACCTTTCCATCTGGCTGGGCCAGGTAAACCCAGCCTGGTGTGTCTTAGAAAGCAGTGCCCACAGCCTTCAGAACCCAGAGTTATCTGCAGGCTTCCCCACCCCAGCAGAGAAACAACAGCCTGTTTCCAACCCCAGGTGGGGAAAAGGAGACCTTCAGTCTACCTGTAGGAGCAGAAAGGGGCTTAAGCTCTGGCTGGAATAAAGGCCTTTTTGAGAGCACTGGACTTTTCCAGCTGCCTGGAAACAGGAAGCGCCCAGGCCAGGAGAACAGAAAGCCTCACACACCCTGTGCATAAAGGCACAGTGAGCCGTTAACCCTAATTACCTGTGACTGACACGCGAGCGGGGCCTGACCTTCCAGGCATCGCCTCAGCCAAAGCAAAATAAACAGCTCCCTTCATCCCAAACACAGGCCGTTTCACCCCCCGCCCAGAATTCAAGGGGTCTGACACAAGGGGAGAATGGTGCAGCTGCAGCACACTGGGGGCTCAGCCCAGACCCCAACTGCTGCCCCCCACCCTGAGCCAGCAGCTCCCCCTCCCCTCCAGCCCCCTCCCGATGTCCCCTGGAGGAGGAGGAGGATGAGCAGCATCCATACCGGGGAGAATGAGCACCACTAGGGTCCTGTCCCCCTGTCCCCAGCAGTGGCCAGTGCCTCTGTGGTGTCCCCAGAGCATGCCCGTGCCCTCCTGCTCAGTGGGAGCTCCCTGAAAATCCACGCTGTCTCCTGGGCGTTCTCCTCTGACTGATCCCTTCAGCAGCCCTGTGAGAGCCAAGGGCTCTGCTGCTCCACGGGCACAGAGATGCCACCCACTGTTGAGTGCCCAAACACCAGTGGGCACAGGCCAGACCCCAGCCCAGAGCGTCCTGGGCAGGCAGGCAGGACAGGGAGCCCCGGCTGTGCCAGGCACAGGATCCCAGCACCTGCCCCGGGCCCTCCCTGTTCTGCTGAGCACCAGCACCTCCATCAGCTGCTGGGGCAGCTCTTTCCCTCCCTGGAACAGCCTCTGGTCCCGGCACACAGCAGTGCCCCAGCTGGCTCCTGTCCCCCTCCCCGAGGGCCGCAGGCAGAGCTTACCCGGGGGGCAGAGCATCCAGGGCGAGCACGGCTGCCCGGGCCGGGGGGGCGCTGGGGCCCGAGGCCGCCTCCTCCGCCTCCCTGGAGCCGCCCAGGGCAGGAGGGGCGGGAGCAGAGGAGCCCTCGGCCGTGCCGGACGCCGCCGGGGTCGGAACGCTGGCCCCTGCTGCCGGCCTGTCCTCATCCATGTCCGCGGCAGCCACGGCGTCCCCGTTCACTGCAAGGCAGAGGGGAGCAGGTCAGCACAGGGAGGGCACCAAGGCTGCCTGACCTTCCCGGGAAGCAGAGCACGTGGTGGGTGACAACCCGAGCTCGTGGTGGGTGACAACCCGAGCACCGCACTCTCAGTGCTCCCAGCCTGCGGCAAAGGCAGCACCTCTGGGAACCACTGCCACTGCCTCCATCCTGAGATGGTACTTTGCATTTGTGCCCAGGGTCTCTTCTGCCACTGGAAACATGCTGCAACCCAGATGGGAACTCGGGGAATGAGCAGGAGCCCCAAAACAGTGACTACAGGATCTCCCCCTGAGGCAGAGTGAAACCCAGGCTCCACAAGTCAACAGCACTGCAAAGAGCTACATGTTGCTGGATTCCACTGAACCTTTGGAAAAGGAGAGGGACAAAGCAAAGGAGAACTACAAAAAAAAAACTGTTGAGGAGGAAAATGCAGAGCAAAAAATGAAAGAGAATTTGTTAGAGGAACATTTATTAGATACCAAAACCCCAAGATGTGGCAGCCCAGCTGAGGAGAACCTTTGGTACAAGATAACCTGGCTGGAGTGGTAAAGCAAAAGCTTTATAAAAACCCATGAACAAGGAACAAAGGAGTGAGGGATGCAGACATACTTCCAGGAGCTAGAGCTGAGAAACGTAAAAAACTGTAAGGAAAGCCCACACATTTAGAAGCATTGTAGGAAAAAGCAGTACAAACCCTCAAGGAAAGGAGACTGAAGAGCTACAGACGCTCTGTAGAAGAGACAGAATGAGACCCATCAATGCACAGGGACAAAATTCCCAGGCACCACAAGATGCATTATGAATCTCAGCAGGGACTAGTTTTCTCCCCAGTGAACAGCCCCGAGCTGTGCCCCACCTCCCACGAGCACTGGTCACCTGTGCCATTGGCCACGCCGTTGGCCGTGCTGGTGGCCGTGCCGTTGGCCATGCTGGTGGCCACGCCATTGGCCATGCTGGTGGCCACACCGTTGGCCATGCTGGTGGCCGTGCCATTGGCCATGCTGGTGGCCGTGCCATTGGCCATGCTGGTGGCTGTGCTGGTGTGCTGTGAGCTCTTGGCCTGCTGCCGGTGCCGGCTCCTGCCGCTGGGACTTTGCTCTCCACTCCCCGTGTTCCCCCGGGCTGCCCCGGCCGCATGTCGGTGCGTCCTGCAAGGGAGGGAGCACAGGAGGTGAGACATGTCACGTGGAAAACACCACTCCTGCCTTTGCACCCTGGGCTTCTGCTGCTTCATGCTGCCTGCTCAGATTTGCCCAGAGTCCTGGCACACACCCGCTGGTGGCACAGACCCATGGAGGAGTCACCTGGGTGACACCAGCTTGCTTTGTTCACAGGTGGTCACTCTACGTGCCAAGGAATGGCCCTGGATGCTCACAGCCAGAATCCTGCTCACCACAGTGGATCCCAGCTTTGCTCCATCCACCCCTGCAGATCCCAGGAGATCCCACACCAGCCCCAGGTCCTGCACCATGGTGGGGACCCTCTCCAGTGCCTCGTGCCTGGCTCCAAGCCTAGCGCAGAGGCAGGTGAGGAAGGTGCTCCCAGGACAGCTGTGGCCTCCAGAAAAGGAGAGAACAGTCAGGAAAGATGAGAGCTGAAATCCCAGCATGAGTTGTGACCAGCTCAGGTGCAGCTGCTCCATCTCTTGGGGGTCACTGCCACCCTGGAGCTCACCTGTCACTGTCCTCCACGGCCAGGGCAGCCCAACCTGCACTGGCAAAGCACCTGCAGCTCCCCCAAGCAAACTCACTGCCTTGGACCATCCAGGGCGCCCAAGGCAGCACAAAGGCATTCCTGAAACAGCTGGGTTTCACCTTAAGAATTCATTCCTGCGAGGGAGATGCTGTCATCCCAAATCTGGGGGGCCTGAGGAGCAGAGGCAGAGCCCAGACACCTCCACCCAGGCTGGCAGCCCAGGCAGCAGCCATGGAGGGTAGAGACTGCAGGGAAAAGGACATGAGTTTCTCCCAGCCAAAATCTACCTTAAAAGGGCAAAACCCACAAACTGTCCCCAAGTCTCAGGGCTGGTGCTGGGAGGGGACAGCAGCTTGGCAGCAACAGGGCACAGATCAGTCATGCCACTCTCAGCAGCTCCAGCAACTGGAACCCTCCCACTCACTCCAAAGCTGCTCTCCTCGGGGAGCGGCTCATGGCAGGGCTGGGACTGGGAGGAGACATGGGAAAGCAGGAGATGGTTGTTGAAAATAGATTAGATGAGAGCCACGGGCAGAGCAGGAGCTGCTGTGACCACTTGAGTGAGTCACAGACCCCTAGAAGGGCAGCCCCAGCCAGGGGCTCCTGGAGGGGCTCCTCAGACAGTGAACTCCCCGAAACCCCAGCTGGCCCCCAGACACAGCTCCATGCTGGGGTTTGCTTTGGCCACCAGCACCCAGCAACACGGGGCATCTGTGGGGAGAGAACAGGCTCCTCTTCCCCCATCAGGAGGTGAAGGGGGCCCCTCACTGCCGGGGCTCAGCAGGGCACACTGGTACCACCCAGCTCCCAAAAGCTGGCTGGGACCTCTCCCCACAGTTCCCCCCTTGGGGAGGCCAGAGGCAGCACAGCCCCCAGAGCCCTGGCCAGAGGGGAGCAGGCAGGTGCCACCAGCCTGTCCCACTGGGAGCAACCTCTCTGGCATTGGATGGCTCTGGTCCCTGCCCTCCTCAGCACAGATGAGCTCAGAACTGCTCAGGGAGTTTTTAGAAACCAAAACAGGATGTTTCCAGCCAGCGGCACAGGGTTACCAGCCTGAATTAGCCAGCCCGCCGCCCAGCCCAGCCCTCCTACGAGTGCTCCCATCTGGGCATTGTCTTTTAATAGACACTGGAAACAAACCCAGCAAGGCCACAGAGCACGGCGGGATGGGAGCGTGAGCTTAAAATAGGAGCAAGCAAAAAGCAGGCAGAGCACAGATGGGAACAGACAGGGTGGGATGGAGAGGGGTGTGTGGGAGGGGGGCAGCCCCTCTCCCACAATGGGGACAAGACCCTGCTGTCCCCCATCGACTTGGGGACCTTGGCTGGCTGCCCCACTGCCCCTCCCGGGCTGGGGCAGATGATGCCAAAGAGTAAAGTGGCATCAGCCAGGTGACATCAATCCTTCCTCTTCCCCTTCTGCCAAGGCAGAGTCCCCTCGTGAGCACAAACCCCAGCCAAGAAACTCATGAATGGCCAGTTCCTGCAGCTGGGATGGCCAGAGGGGCCCTCAGGAGATGCAGCAGAGGTGACAGTGTGTCTCAGTCTCACTCAGCACATCAGAGCCCAAGCTGTGGACGAGGAGGAGGGCAGAGCACAGGCTGGAGCCAGCGCTGGCTCTGGGGAGCAGGGCACAATCTCTGGGAAACAGAGAGAGCCTCAGTGCCATGCAGGGGGCGAGAGCACAGCCCCCAAAACATGGAGCTGAGAAATTCCCCCAGTCCCTGCCAAAGGGGGGAGGCAGCCACATCCCCCAGCACCCAAATGAGAGAATCATGGAATAATTTGGGTGCCAAGGGATCTGAAAGCTCACTCTCGTTCCAGCTCCTGCCATGGGCAGGGACACCTTCCATTATCCCAGGGGGCTCCAAGCTCCGTCCAGCCTTCCAGGCTCTGTCTGGACACTTCCAGGGATGGGGCAGCCCCAGCTTCTCTGAGCAACCTGTGCCAGGGCCTCCCCAAACAGGGGCTGTGGCACCCATGGCCCCAGCTCTCAGCCAGAGCTCCCTCTCTCCCTGCACAGACGGCTGTGGAATTTCACACCCAATCACCAAGATTAGCAGCAAATCCCAAGATGACATTTGTTCAGGAGAAGAAAGAGAAGCCCTGACCAAGCAATTTCCCTTGCAGGGACAGTGTGGAAATAGCTGAGGAGCAAAGAATGCCCCTTTTCTTCCCATCCTGCCGCTGAGTGACTTTGCCAGCATCCATCACCAAGCCCAAGAAAATAAACACGGCTCTGTGTATAAACACAGCAACCATCAAACATTCCCAAGTGCAAGGGACCCACATTCCACCCTGGAGCGTGCAGCTGTCTCCTCTGTGGGTATGGAGAGCAGTGCTCTGCCCCACAGAGCAGCACCACATCTCACTGAGCAGGGGTGTCCAGAACAACCCCACATTCAGGTGAGTACAGCATGGATTGAGAACTAGCTCGGAGGTTTCCACAGCAGGGCAGCCAGGGGATATGGCAGGCACACCTGGCAGGTGTCTGAAGGTGCCCTGCACAAGTCCTGGCCAGACTTCACCACACTCAAGGTGACAGCTGAAGCACAAACTCCTCACAGATAATGGGAAGGCAATGGGGAATGGGCAACAAGCAGTGCCCAGGCTCAGCCTCCCAAACCAGAATTTTTTTGCAGGTTTTCTAGCACCTCCTGAGAGCTGCTAAGTGCCTGCCAAGCCCAGCTCATTCAGATCACTGAGCACTTCCCACCCCTGGGGAGGCTCTACCACCTGGACAGCAGGAATCAACAGGAACAGCCACCAGAAAGGGGCAGAATCTGTGGTCACAAACTGCTCCCAATTTCCATCCCTCTCCCTCCCCGGGTGGGAGATGAACACACAACATGGAAAGACAAGGTCACTTTTTGAGCCAAAAACATCAACTCTGGTGTGTGCCCAGCACATAATGCAGGAGCAGAAGAGCTCGAGGTGTGAAGCTTGCAGCTGAGAGTGCTCCTGAGCCTGGGCCACGCAGAACCCCCCACGGACAGGCTGCAGGCGCCCTCTCCACAGCCACACTCCTACCCAGAACATCTGTACAGGCTGCTGGGCCACTGCCATGCTCTGGAAATATAAATAGGTGTTAAATTCAACTCCATGTTGACAGTGTGACACGTCTCTCAGTAACCACAGCTCCAAAAGGAGCAGCACTCGGCCACTCCAGCCCGGCAAGGAGGCAGGGCAGGGCAGGGCACAGAGCCAGCTGCAGGATGGCCTGCTGCCCAAGCATCTCACTTCCTTTGGAAGCAGCTGCTATTTCCCTGCAGCTCTGCTTCTCCTGCTCTCCCTGGACCTTCATAAGCATGTCCCTCTGGCCATTGCCTGGAGGAGCCCTGTGCTTCCCAGCCTGGCCAGGGCTGTGCTCAGGTGCTGGGGTTCCTGTGATCCCCATTTGAAGGGACCCCACTTTGCTGGTTTGCCTCACTGCCCCACTCTCAGACAGATCATTTTTTCAGCTGCCAGCGGAGCAACTGGTGGGAAACTCTCTGAGCCATCACAGACTTGCTGCTCCTCGAGACACCAACACTTTAGGAGAGGCTCAGGCCAGCCACAGCCCAGCTGTACAGTCACTCCTCTGCTGTCCCCCAGCACAGATCTCCCTTGTGCTGCAGGACAGGGGCTCACTGGCAGATCTGGAGTGGGGTGCCCAGCACAAGGCCAATCCAGCACAGCCACAGCGACCCCTCAGCAATGGACACACGGCATGGGACCCTCACCTCGGCCTGCTGCCAAAGCAGTTGGTGCTGGGGGGTTGGTGCCGGCCCTCCGTGGCCACAGCTGTGCTGCTGGGGTCCCGTCCAGGTACCTGGGACCCTGCATGGGGGAAGAACAAGGGGTGAAGAAAAGGACTGAACCACCTGTAGATCCACCCTCCTTCTCTCCCTCCTGCCTTCCAGAAAGGAGCCCCAAAAGCACAACAGCCCCATCCCCGGCAGGAGAGACCCCCAGCAGCCAAGGACTCCCTGCCTCACACCACTCAGCCCAGCACCTCCTGGCCCCCCCAGCACTCCAAGCAGGACACAGGAGTCTGCAGAGCTGGCAGTGCCAGGACAGCACGGCATCCACAGCTCCCAGATTTCACAGATTCTGTCTTCCAGTAACAAAGAGAAGGAGCCAAGTGAAAGCAATGCACCAACCCCTGTTCTGCACAAGCTTTGCTCTCCTGGCAGCCCTGAGAGATCAGCCACCAGCCCATGACCCCACAGATGCTCTGGCATGGGGAGCTCTCGTGAGTGGATCAGCAGACACTGACACCATTTCCCAGCCCTCACAGCCAGCGAGGGAAGGGGCTGATCCAGTGAGGGAAGGGGCTGACCCGCGTGGAAGGCTGGAGGAGGGCTGGAGAAGGGCCGCTCCTCCCAGGCTGCTGGGGAGGCAGCTGTGAGCCTGTGGCTGCTCCCGTTCCACTCCTGCCACAGCTCACCCCTGCGGGAGCCCACGGGGCTGGCCCGGGGTGGGCAGGGGTCTCACGGGGGGCAGAGGTGGGGGCTGGCCCGGGACACCGGGCTGACACCGAGCCTCGTGCGGGCCGGGCACTCACCCTCCGTGCCGGCACTGCCGTCGGGAACGCTGCCCAGAGCAACAGCCGGCCCGTCCAGGAAAATCGTCAGCTCTCCGCCCGACACAATGCTGCCTTTGTTCTCCGTCTGCAGGTCCAGGGTCAGCTGCCTGTTCTCCACTGCAGCAGACGGGACACGGAGAAAGAGACCCCCGGTCAGCAGCGGGTACCGGCCCTGCCAGGGGTGGCTGCACCGCCCCAGCCCCAGGCCAGCCTCCCGGGCCTCCCCCATCCCCAAAGGACAATGTGCCCATGCTCTCAGGGCCACCAGTGCTGGCCACACACCTACACACACCTACCAGCCCAGCCAGTCCCACCAGCTGCTCCTGAGGAAGATCATTTTCAGCAGCCCTCAGGGTCCCTTCACCCTTCACTGGGGCTGCAGCTGCCCCAGGGGCCCTGGCTGTGACACCGAGACCCCCATCGCTCGCAGATCCAGGAGCTGGGGCTGTAGGGCAGATCCCAGCAGGAAAGCCAAGGGATTTCACAGAACCACCAGGTTGGAAGAGACCTCCAAGACTGAGTCCACCCCATGCCCCAACACCTCATCTAAACCATGGCACCTCCCTGGGCAGGCCATTCCAGAACTTTATCACTCTTTCCATAAAAAACTCTTTCCTAATATCCAACCTACATTTCCCTTGGCACAGTTTGAGACTGTGTCCTCTGGTTCTGTCAGTGCTGCCTGGAGAAAGAGACCAACCCCACCTGAGCACAATCACCTTCCAGGAGCTGCAGAGAGTGATATGGTCACCCTGAGTCTCCTTTTCTCCAGGCTGAACACCCCCAGCTCCCTCAGTCGTTCCTCACAGGAGTTGTGTTCCAAGCCCCTCACCAGCCTCGCTGCCCTCCTCTGGACGCACTCGAGCGTCCCAAAGTCCTTCCCAAACTGCGGGGCTCCTTTAAGATGACACAAGGGGCAAGAGGGGTCCTGCAGGGTGGTGAGCATCCCTCCATCCACATCCCTGTGCACTGGCTCCACTGAGCAAAACCAGCACGGAGGGCTGTCCCCAAACAGGAACGCTCTGCTGCAGCACTGGACTGCATTCACAGAAGGTTCTGGAGAGAGTGCCACGAGCTGGGAGGCTCCTGGAGACAGCTGCCAGCTCCACTCCCTCCTGTGTGAGCCAGTCTGGCTTCATCAGCTTGGCTTTGCTGGTCCCTGGGGGCAGTGGGGGCACAGCACAGCCCTCAGCACCCACCCCATCACAGCAACGCCTGCCAGTGCCAGCCAGACTGAAACACCCGTCACAGAAGGCCAGAAAAATTTGGCTGCACCAGCCTGGGACACTAGCCCAGACGCTTCCTGACTCATTTGCTCAAATAATATTTTTATTATACACGGATTGCTCATGACACAATGGCACCATTTTTTAGCAACCTGCTTTGTCCCGGTGTGACGCGGGGACGGGGTGCGGCTCAGGCCAGCAGGAGCACACCTCCATGGAACCCTTGTCCCACCTCTACCTGCGAGCTGTCCCACACTGGGACTTGACACTTCGGATGGGAGCACACCCCCCATGGAACCCTTGTCCCACCTTTACCTGCGAGCTGTCCCACACTGGGACTTGACACTTCCTTCTCCAAGGCCCCCCAAAAAGCAGTGACACAGGGTCTGCAGCGACACAGGGTCTGCAGCGAACACGGGGCTGTGGGACAGGCGGCACTTGTGGATCTGAGGGAAGTCTCCAGTTTTTAGTGCCAAGAAGGCAGGTGTCTCCTGCACAACAGGGGCACACACTCACAGGGGCACAGCTCTGTCACTGATCACCATCATCCAACAGGGGATCCTGCTGAGCCTGGTCTTCCCCTCTGCCTCACGGAGCTGCACTCCGCTTGCTTCCACGGAAAACCGACCTCACAGACAGTTTTAAGAGCCTGACACAGAAGATGCTACTGAGCACGGCCAAAAACCAGAACAAATCCAGACCCTGTTTCCCCCCTGGCTCCTCCAAGCCGTAGGAATCCGCATTTTCTCCAGGGTCCCTCCATCCCCCTCCACGCGCCGCGCTCTGGGGCCGCACAAGCCCTCATTGTGCGGGCGCCCAGCTGAGGCGCAAAGACAAGGTGTCTCCAAGTGGAGGATGTGAACATGAACCTCCCAGCCGGCTTCCTTCTCCCCCCCTCCACCCCCTCCAGCTTTTTTAAAGAAAATAAACACTCGCAGAACCTTCCACTCCCTGTCCCCGTGCAGCACGCACAAAGGGACATTGCTGCTGCTCCGACGGCGGGTCCCCCGAAGGGCCCAGCACAAAGGCCGCCTCTGTCCCGCCGGCTGCCAGAATGTCAGAGGGATTATTATTATTTTGGGAGGGGGTCGGGGGGTGATTTGGTCCTGAATAAGGTCTCAGTTCAGCTACTTCCAGTGCCCTGCACGCAGCATCAGAGCTCCCATTTAGCAGAGGTGAGCTGGAATTCCCACCCAGCCCATTAAGCGGATTTACGGTTCCACGAAACGAGGCTGGGAGCAGCCGGTGTGATAACGGCCCCGGGCTGAGCCCCAGCCCTGGGACCCCCAGGAACCACTCGTGTCTGACTCCAGGGAGCTGCCACACGGGATGGGCAGCTCCTCTAGAAGACCCTGTGTGAGGTGGCTCCATCTCCACAGCTGCATCCCAGAAGATTTTCAGACAGACAGCCAAAATGAGCTTCCCAGTGTCTCAGCTTCCCAAACCAGTGCCAAGCTCTTTGCCCAGTCCCACTGCACGCAAAGGCCAGTTCCCATTCCAACAGCTCCATGTGATCATCCAGGTTTTGTCTGGGATGAATCAAAGCTCCCTGGTGCCGAGCAGGTGAAGACTGGCTCAGCCTTTGTGCATTCCCACAGAAGGAATGACTCCACGCCATGGCTACAGTGCCTCCAAGAACAAGCAAGGGGCAAGTTAAACATTCTACAGACATTCCCAAACTGAAAAGGAACCCAGAGTTCAGGGGAAGGGATAATCTTTAGTGCCCCATGAAAGTCTCCCCAGGGAAGTTTTGCCTTTGCTGCTGATCCAACCTCAACCACGAGCACCAACTGTGTCCCACTCCATTTATCTGCCAGGGATAACCAGGAGGGTGTCAGGTTTCTGTATCCTTCCTCTAAAAGGTGACATGGGATGGGCACTCTCCAATCCCTCTAGTGACTGGCTGGATGGCCACTTCTGTGGGATTTACATCCTGGCCATGGCAGAGCCAGCTCACAGAGCTGCTGGGACATGCAGCACAGCACAGCTCCTTTGGCATCACAGCCACAATGTGGGGGGGAGCTGCAGTTTTCCAGAGGCTGGGAATTGCTGCTGGTGTCCTGGAGGATCCCAGGAGGCTACAGTTCCAGCCACTCTGCCTGGGGCACCGCAGCAGGGACCCCGCGGATCCCTAAAGCCCTGCCACGTGGTGCCACTCAGCACACAGCGGGACCAGCACAACCAGCAAGGCCCAGCAGGGGCTCCCACGCAGCCCGGGATGCGGGGCTGCCCGGGGCCGGGAGCTCCGGAGCCCGGGAACAAAGAGGAGCCTCTGCAGCGGCGGCAGCGCAGGGGCCGGGGGCGTGCCACGGCAAACGAGCTGTTTTATGGGAGCCCTGGGAGCAGCCCGGCTCCGGGAAGGCTCCAGCCCGCGTCGGTGGCTGAGCCGGCCCTGACCCACCTCTCCACGTCCGCGGCCAATCCCGGGAAGGCGGCAGGCGCTGCCCGCCCGCCGAGAGGCCCCGCAGGAAGCGCTGCGAGCCCCAAAGCGCGGCCGGAGCCCCGGCTGCCCTGCCACAGCGGCTCTCACAGCCCTCCCGGCAGCTCAGGCCTCATCGCTGAGCTCTTCCTCCGTGCTCCCGGCCTCAGAGCTGGGACTCTTCCCCCTGCAGTGAGGCATCCCTGGCAGCAGCATCCTGGCACGCGCTGCCACCGGTGTCACTGGCAGCGAGGACACTGTCCTGCCCACCGAGGAGAGCGACAGGAACACCAACACAAGGCCACAGCTACACTCACTGATCAGTATCTTCCATTAAGCCTCGCCAAAACCATAACAAACCCAACGAAGAGGGGCTGCTGCCCAGCAGGAGCTCACTCTCGGCTGAGCACCTCTCAGGATGGCAGAGGAGGGCCAGGACCCTCCAGTGGCAGGAGCACACACATTTCACTGCCCTTACATCAAGTGTGTGACTCAGGATGGCTTGAAACCCCAGATGCCTTCTGCACTCCCCCGCCTGACCCAGCCCCTTCCTCAGGCTGGCAGGCAGAGGGAACACACTCCCCTATTCCCAGGAGGACAGAAGCCCCTGAGGAAGGGATTTCACAGGCTCCCATGGGACCCCCACCAGCCTCTGGCCCTCTCAGACCTGCAGCAAAGCCCGAAGGCTGAGCGTGAGCCTGCAGAGAAGAGGAGGGAGCAGATGGCAGCCCAGACAAGGAGGGCAGGCAGGAGCAGAGGGGCAGCACCTTCCCGGGCAGGGCAAGGCAGGCTCTGCAGCTTTAAGAGTCCTTCCTCCCTCCCAGCCCGCAGTGTCAAGGAAAAATCTGACACGTTTTTTCTGGGGGATGTTAACAGACAAGCTAGAACAGCCAGTTGCCTTTTCCATTCATTTTCCACACAGCCTCCCGGGATGGCTGGGAATGAAAGAGCCAATTGTGCCCCCGTGGCGGCGCAGGTAGGGCAGGAACCACGGCGGCTCCGGGAGCCCAGCACGGCCCTGCACACCTCGGGAAACAGCGGCTGCAGGGGAGGGTGCCCAGGGGCACAAGCCCACAGCTGTGGGGCTGGCTGCCTGCTACACCCCAACACAGCCAGCCCGAGGCACACGTCCAAGTCCCCACAGGCCTCGTGAGGAGACAGCAGCAGCAGCACAGCTCCCACGTGTCCCTCAGTGCCACCCAGAGCCACGGTGGCACGGCGGGGACACCGGTGTGGCCGCAGAGCTGGCAGCACCAGGGGAAGCAGCTCAGCCCAGCCCCCAGCTCCGGGGAGGCTCTGAAGCAGCCCCGAATCCCTCGGGGCGCAGGAGGCCCCTCTCCCCGCTCAATACCAGGTCTGTGTCTCACAAGCTTTGCTTGGAAGAGACAGAGCCAGCCTTTTCCAGCCCCGCGCCGCCCGGGCCCTGAATGGCCGCCTTTATGTGGGAGCTGCTGTCACGAGCCACGCTCTGGCAACCGCAAACGGTGGCAAATAGCAGAGGGGTTTGTGCTGCCTGGCCGGCCCCGGCGTGGGCTGACGCAGGTATGGCTTCCGGCACGCCCGGCCCGGCCACACAACGGCACCTTGTTCCCTGTCAGGGACACAGCAGCACTGCTGCCCGGGCCCTGCCCCGTGCCCAGCCCTGTGCCCCGTGCCCAGCCCCGTGCCCAGCCCCGTACGTACGTTTGCCACCGCCCTTGAGCAGGCTGCCGAGGCTGAGGGAGGCGGCGCCCAGCAGCTCGTTCCTCAGCGTGTGGCAGATCCACACCTTCAGCTCCAAGTGGCTCTGAGCGGTGACATTCCTGTAGAGACCGGGAAAGGGGCTGTCACCGCGGCCTCCTGCCTGCTCCGTGCTTGGGGAGCAGGCAGTGCCACAGGCAAGGAGCAAAGGAAGGTGGGCAAGGACATGGGGCAAGGGGAGAGCCCCCTCCCACTGCCCTCCCAGCCTGAGTCTCTGGCAGTGTCCTCGTGCAAGGGGCAAAGCTCTGACACCTGAGTGTGCCCAGCCGGTGGCACAGCGGGGCACATGGGGCCAGCCCCTGACCAGCCCCACAGCAGGGCTCACACAGACTCACAGGGTGAGGATCTCGTTCCACAGCAGCTCGGAGACCCCCATCTGCTTCCCCGTCTTCTTGGTCTCACTGGGCAGCCCGTCGCCGGCCACCTCCACGTAGCAGTTCATCCGTGCTGGGCGGCTCTGGGCCTTGGGCTTCACAGACACAACTGGGCAGGGACAGGCACAGGGTCAGGCCTGTGAGACACCCCGACCTCTGCCCTGTCCCCCAGCCCACCCCTGCCAGCTCGGGGTGCCACGACTCGCAGCAGAGCGCTGGGAGAGGGGCAGCGGGGAGCAACGCTCCTGGTGGCAGCGACGGCTGGCACCAAGCCCTGACCACGCCTGTCCCCAGCGTCACCCCGCCGAGGGTGGCAGGGCTGTCACTGTCCCCACGGACACCTCCCTGTCCCAGGGCACGGGGGCAGGGCGGGACGGGCCAGCAGCGCCTGCGGAGGGGCAGAGCGGGACGCGGCTGCGAGGGGACGCGGCTCCGGGCGCCGGGAGCCATCTCGCGGCCACGGCAGCACCAGCGCGGCCCCAGCAGGGCCCGCAGCCACGTCCCCACGGCACCGGGCCCGGGCCATGGCACGCAGGGCCGTCCCCAGCCCCTGCCCCCTGCAGAGTGCAGGCAGAGCACGCGTTCCCGGCAGGGCAGCCCCAGCGAGGCAGCAGGACCCACCTTTCACGGAGAGCGGGGACTTCTCGCAGGGCGGCCCGGCCCTGGCCCTGCTGGAGCTGGCAGCGGCCATGGCATCACCCCCAGCTGGAAGCAGAGAGAGGAGACACCTCAGCCCCGTGCCAAGGCACCCAGGGAGCCCAGACGCAGCCCGATGCTGCTGTGAGTGCCCGGCATGGGGAAAGGGCTGGGAGAGCCCCGGGACACGCGGGCTCCCTCTCCTGAGGGACCCCCATGCACCCAAGGCAACGCTGCGTCCCTGGGAGAGCAACCCCTGCACGGGCTGAGCTGGGCAGTGCCACCTCCAGACACCCCTCTGGGCACCCGAACCCCTGACCCGCAGGCCAGTGCTGCTGGGGGACAGAGAAGCCACCAAAGCCTTGCCCCGGGGGACACTGACTCACACAACACCAGCAAGATGGCAAAAACGTGGCCGGGCAGCGGCTGGACAGAGGGAGCTCTGCTCACAGCACGGGGACCACAAACCTCAAGGGCAGGGCAGCCCTGGTCTCATTATGGTACCAAATCCCACAGGATCACCGAGGCTGGGAAAGGCCTCGAGACCCTCGTGTCACCCCCTGGATGAGAAGGACACGCTGTGACACCAGGGAGGGTGGCAGGACACGTGGCCAGAGCCGGAGCCCAAAGCAGCAGCCACAGAGCGGAGGGATGAGGTCACACATCCCACAGGAGCACGAGACAGCCCTGGGCCTGCCCCGGCTCCTCCGCCGTTCCCAGGAGCTGCAGAGCACGGGGGCCAAGCCACAGCCCAGCTCTGCCTGGCCAGGCCACTGCCAACCTCCCCTCCCCGGCCAGGGGGAGCACAAGAACAGGGCAGCAGCTCCAGCCCCTCTCCCTGCGCAGGAGCCTCTCCCCTGCCCTCTCTGCACATCCTCCCTGAGCCGTACCCGGCTCCACCCCACGGCAGATTCCCTGTGGAATCCCCTCTCCCAGGGTCCGTGCCAGCACAGCAAACCTGCCTGGCTCCATCCAGCAGCAGCCAGGCTCCCGGACACGTCCCGGACACGTTCCAGCCTCCTGCCCTCACCGTGAGGGGCCACTCCCCACACTCGCTGTCACACCCCAGCTGTCCCGGCCCGCGGGTCACCCCGGCCTCCCCTGAGGGGATCGGGTACCCCTGGTGCTCACGGCCCCAGCTCCACAGCACACAGATCCCAGCGGGGCCGTGCCCCTCCTGTGCCAGCCGTGCCCAGCCCTGCCCCGGCTGGGCTGCCTCCCTCCCTCTTCCTTCACAACCCGACTCTCGTCCCCATTCCCTCTTTTCCTGACCCCACACCATGTCTCTGTCACTCGTCTGAGACCCCCAACAATCGCCTCTGGCCCTCCAGACACCCCTCGGTGCCCGGTGCCGCTCCCCGGGCGCAGCTTTCCTGCCCCGCACACCGCAGAGCGCCTCAGCCGAGCGGGGCCGGGCCCGGGCCGGGCCGCTCCTCCCGCTACCCACGGCGGGATGCCCCTGGGCCAGGCCGAGGCCTCCCTTCCTCCCCGGCTTCCCGGCCTGGCTCCCGGAACACCGGCGGGGCCGCGGCAGCGAACACCGAACCCGGCCCGGCCGGCCCGGCTCCGCAGCGGCGCACAGAACCGGGCCGGGCACCGCGGGCACCGCGCACAACAGCGGCGGCCAAGGGCCCCGCCATGGCCCCGCCGTCCCGGCCGCTACCGGCGGCCGGAGCGCCGCACCAGCCCGTCCCGTCCCGTCCCGTCCCGTCCCGTTACCGGCGGCCGCTCCGCTCCCGCTCCCCGGCTCCAGCTCCCGCCGTCATGTGACCCCCGGCCCGTCACGTGACCGCGCCGGCCGGAAGCGCTCCCGCCGCACGGCGCCGCTCCCGGCGTGCCCCCACTGAACTACGACTCCCGGCGTGCCCCGTGCCCGGACCACAACTCCCGGTGCGCTTCCCGCGGCGCTTCGACGGCGGCCGGGGTGGGCCATGGGGCACGCAGACATGGCGCGTGTTCCGCACGTCGTGGCCGACACGGGCGCGTTCCTGAGCGCGGCCCCGCTGCAGGTACCGGGGGAGCACCGGGGAGACACCGGAGGGACGGGGGGG